ATTAAACTGAGTTTTTACACATAAAACCTTAGATCACATATATCACCTTAGTTCATGATTTGTTAAATCTTTCGCTACGAGCGTCGACTATAGGCAGCATTCATATGACTATAACTGTATGTACGGGCGTCGTCCATAGACGACACGCAGTGTGTAGATCTTTGTCGTGAGGACATCGAACCCTTCAAGATCTATCTCTGAGATGAACTATTGAGAATTCTAATTTTTTCTTGTAATTTTATTTTCAGATCTAAACCACACAGAAAATACAAATCATTTTTACAGTTTTTCTAACAATTTATATGAAGAAAGGAGCGTAACATAGCGTTGCCATGACAACAATATGTTATGGTCTATTTTATCGGAGAATTGGCCTCTTAAAAATAACTGAAAGTGGCGTTTAATGAGTTATTTGAAAATGAAAGACTTGAATTTCTATTTAAAACTTCGAAGTGTTCTACACACTATTTATAATCAAATATATTAAATTATTGATCTTTATTTTTCTAAATAGTTATTTTATAGCAAAAAACCCTTATAACTTGTAATTTTTTTAGTTCAGCCCGAACTTTCTTGCGATATATGTCCATATGTTATTAAATATATACACACACATATAAATATACATATACCTGTATAGATACATGAACAAATATATATATATATATATATATATATATATTTATATAGTGTTTCATACATGTATAAGCAATAGTATTATTATTTGTGCCAAAAGCTCAGGCGAAATAAACAAAACAAATAGGTGAAGAAAACTTTGCAAAAAATATTAGAGCAAGCAAAACGTACAGAATCATGATAAATGCATAGGTACATAAATATTCACAAACAAATTTAAATATGTACAATTTTTGAATTTTTCACAAACGCCCACAATACAAAGTACAACATTAAACTAAGAATATTTGTGCATACATGTATACACATACACATGTGGGTAAAAATAATATAGTTATACATACATATATATGTGTAAATACATACATATATATGTATATATATCATAGGTTAGTAATATATTAAATTTGGATAAACAAATTCATAATCGAAGTTTGAAAATTCATACAATTTCGGAGCTAAGCCGCTGTTTGGTTTCATGTTGGAAACACTAATAAATAATTAGTCAAACTTTGATGCAGCGCAGCTTAACTCCAGAAACATAACATAAATTTTCATTAAATTACACAATGGAATATGATGTTTTCATTATACATGATATTGTTGCATAATAATGTGGAATGTGGATATTGAGTCAGTAATTAAATGGCGCATACACTGCATTTGATACTAATTGTATTTCAAATAATTGAAATGAACAGATTCCATGGAGTGCGTGTGCCATTCATTCAGATGACAAATTTCATAGTCTGAACCAAGGAATTAAATGAGTTTATACAATTGAATTCAATATTTTGTTTTGATTGCATTTTGGAGATTTTTTTAAAAACCAATACATTATGGTTTTATAAGCTGTTGTGATAAATTCATTACTAACTAAGTAGCTATTTATAGATGGCAACCCGAACAGTTTTCCCATCACTATGTCATCAATTAGATTATTACAATACCTGTAATAGTGATGACTCATTATTATTAATACCGGAAGAAGACTATTTTACCTTGGCAACATATTGCTATCTATATTACCAAGTGGAAACCGATGTCACTACTGCTTGATATCAGCCTCCTCGAAGCGGCAGCGAACCCGAGAACCCTGATCTAGATCGAATGGTTCTAGCCATTTACCTACAAGCAAGAGCCTTTTGGAGAAATAAATTGTTTCTTAGTAATACGTTCTGTAGGAACCGATTAAACAAAATTTAAAAAGTGGAAACCGATGTCACTACTGCTTGACATCCGTATGCTCGGAGCGGAATCAAACACGGGATCCCTGATTCAGATCCAGTGGGTCTAGCCACTTACCTACGAGCAAGAGCCTTTTGGAGACATAAATTGCCTTCTACTAATACGTTTTGTAGTATCCAGGTTTATTAAACGAATCGATTTTTTTCAGTTTTTTATACATACATGATCAGCAAACAAAACCATACCAATTATATACTCGTAAAGTCAACAAGACAACCCAGTGGTTGACAATTCTCTACCTACAATACCCCAAAGGGTTTTTCCCTTGCTATCATATTTGAGATCTATAATCACAAATATAAAATCTGATATCACTACTTGATTGATCTTTAAGGGAATAGTCTGCTTTAAGCGCTTCAAAAAATCGCTTTTTTGAGAATATTTTAGGAAAGGAAAAAAATATTTAATTGAAACGAAACTTTGAGATTTCATTGTTATATATTTAAACATTCTTCTCAAATTTTTGCATCAAAATTTATGTTATAATATGCCGGGCACAAGCATTTTACCTACACGTGCATGTATCGTTTGGCAGGAAAGTTGCAGGTCACAATTTCCATACGAAACGAAAAAAAAACATTATATTTTCAACAATATAGATTCTAGTTGAATTTGTTAAATCCGGAAAAAAATGAGAACTTCACAAATTTTTCGCAAAATCATGTTTTTTAACTTCCCGTAGGGTAAGTTATTGTAATGGGCCGAAAATCGGAATTGAAAATTTTTACATTTCTCGACGTTTTGAAGGTTTCTGAACGTTTTGGCATACCTCAGAAAAAATGGATGTGTGTGTGTGTGTGTGTGTGTGTGTGTGTGTGTGTATGTATGTGTGGATACAAATTTCCAGTCACGTTTTAGGGCGCACGGATCAACCGATTTGAATGGTTCAAAAAACATTCGATTCCTATTGATAAGGAAAAGAGCTGATTAGTTTTTGGCAAAGGCAGGGCCAGCCGTTTCGGAGATACGGAGCAAAAAGTGCAGAAAATAGAAATCGAATTTTTGGGAGAACGGAGTATCCGATTTGAATGATCTAAAAAACATTCAATTAGTAATGATTGGGAGAAGTGTCTATTAGTTTTTGGCAAAGGCAGGCCCAGCCATTTAGAAGATACGGAGCTAAATATGTAAAAAATGGCAGTTTTTGAGAGAACTAAGCGCCCGATTTAAATGATTCAAAAAACTTTCTGCTTGTCTTAACAAAATAATTGATTTTGGAAAAAAAAATTTTTGTTAATTTTTTTTTTTTTTTTTTTTTTTTTTTTTTTTTTTTAGTTTTTTGTATATCGAAAATATTTCAGATTTTATTTTATTATTTTATATTAGACAATGATATAATATTTATAATAATCTATTTGAGAACATTCAGTATTCAACGGGAAGTTCCAGCAATTTGCCTTAAGGCACGATGCCATAATTGCCTCAAGACAGAATTTCACTTACAGCTAGTTGATAATGAATTTCACCGATTGTTAGAAGAATTCATGGAACCAGTACTTACTAGTCAAGAAATCATATATTACTGCAATAATATTAAAAAAAGTAATAATATCAAAGTAGTATTGTTTAGTCATTCTAATTGTGTGAAATGTTTTTAAATATAGTCACTAATTATAGTTTAATTTTTCCCGTGAATTAGTGGTTACAGCTATGGGGTTTTCAATCAGAGATCAATGGTTCCATGTACATCTCGAGCAGTCTTGCACATATTTTTCCTAAACCAATTTGGTACTGCCATACTGTATTAGATACTTGGAAATAAATACAAAAAAAAATCAAAAATATACACTTGTTAATAAGTTAAATTTTGTAGAAGTCACGCACTTTATAGTTTCTCTGAACTTAACTACTATTGAATTATATTTGTTCAAAGAATAACTACTTCAGCTGACAATGTAATACAAACCGTGAAGGAAGACCTTTTCTGAAGTAAATCCTTCTATATTTATTTTGTGATCAATATAGAATAAATATATCAAAAATAGAAAAATTCCTATACTATCTTTTTACAAAGATTGCAAAAATATCAATACATTCTTCTGTCTTCAAAAGACAATCATTCTTCGGTTATTAATTTAAATAGTTGACTTATTCTTATAATAAGAAAGTAATTTTCAATAATAATATACATTACTTCAAATAATGGCTATGTAAAGAAAATGTCTAGATGAATAATCTCACATCGAAATGGCCATAGAAGTAAAAAATACAAGTAAAAAACGACATTTATCATAACCCAAACTAATATCCATATCATAATTTCAATGTTTGTTGATGAAAATATAATATAAACAAATGTAAATATTATATATTATTAACAAATCGTTACACGCTTTAGTGCAAAAATATGTAACTTTTCAGAGTTAGAAAAAGTATTTTTATTTTTGATTATTGGAAAGAGTTAGAGGTTTTCCTTGGCTTCGTGCAAAGCTTCGTTCCTTACAAATCTCAGTATTTATGGAAAAAGACATATTTTTGAAAAGGATATGTGCATGTAGCCTCATTTTTTCAAGAAAATATGCGAATATAATTGAATACAAGAATACAGTTTATCTATAATAATTTTTTCATTATAGCGATAACATTTTTGATAGTTTGGATATCAAGCCCTGGAATTTAAGCAACAAATCAAAGCATACAAAACTTTTCATCATATTTCATCTAGGGCTTGCCCGTGGATTAGTGATTAGAGCTATGTAATTTAAATCAGAATCATAAATTCCAGGATCGATACTCCCCTCGGGTAGCCTGATGTCAAGCTGTAGTGACATTGGTTTCACTTAGAAATATAGATGGCAATATGTTTCCAAGTAAAAATAGCCCTCTTCAGGCATTGCCGCATCGATAAAAAACTTCTTCAGTATTACAGAAATTGTAATAATAAAACTCAATACATAATAATAGGACAACTGTTTGGGTTGCCATTTACAAAACTGACGTAGTTATGTCAAACCATCACAGCAGCTTATAGAACCTTAAAGTTCTGATCGTTGTTCAAAAAATAAAAAAAAAGAATTTCATCATCTAAATCTGAAACATTTTCTACCTCGGTTCAGACCATGAAATGGTGAAATCAAAAAAATCCATTAGTTCTGTTAGTCTTTTTGTAGGTGTACCTTCGCATTTCAATCCTTGGTGTATCAGGCCATAGAGCAGGGATCCGCAATGATCGCAGAATGCTGGTGATGAGTACGTGCAAACCCGAAACGCGTGCCTGGTGCGCATATCCTGAATTCATTTGCAAGGGAGGATTTGTGATCAACAATTAAATGTCTCAATGAGGTATCATACACAAATCGACAGAGTTTCATACACGGTTACATATTATGCAATGGAGACTGGGTGGATGATTAGATAGATGGAACTACTAAATTGATTACATATAATAAGGACATATGCCTTAAGGTGACATGAAGTCTAGCAGTGTTAGAAGAACGGGAACAATTTTAATCCTATGGAACAAATATTTTAAATTGATACATATCTATATATTTTGTATATGAAAAAATCAGTGTCTTTAGGGTATCTCGTCTGGCCAAAATTAGGTATAAGTTTATTTGATGTCTACTCCAATTCTGGAAAATATAGTTAATTCAATCTAATATTGGTGACTTGTTTGGCATATATATTTTCAATATGCAACATTCATTTGTAGCATTTAAAAATACAAGTTAAAGATCCTTAAATATCATTGAAATAAATAAAAAATATAGTTCAAATAAAAGAAGTTAATATTGGTCCTATCATTCATTACTTGGCAGCATAATATCTTTTTATGGTGAAATTTATTAATCCATTTCATAAATTTGAAACATTTTTAATTATGTATCATAAGAAAATAGTGAAATTTAGCAAAGTATAATAGAAATTCAAATATTTATTACAGATGATTCTGAACCACCTTATGAAACTTCAATAACTGAAGTAATAAGAGATCAGCAAAGGCTGCAATAAGGAATTCCTAGCAAAGGAAAGGAGTTCGTAGTTAATCGAATAATCAAGGCCAAAAATGCATGTTTTTTTTTGCAAATAGCAAATACTTATCAAATCAAACACAAATTCGTGTTGGTGAAAAAGATCATATAAATTGTTTATAATGTATTACATTGGCAAATAGACTGCTTAGAAAATTTCTGATAAACGCTACGTTTTTAAGATTATTAATGAAATCAGTGCATATTTAGTTCAATTCCAAATGCTTTAATTTGGAACGTACCATATTACTTCAGGATACCTCGCATGGATCAATAAAATCAAGAAAAGTTTGAAGTTACTAAAAATAACTGAAATTCGAATCAATAATAGATGTAAATCAGTATCTCTTTAAAAAATTTCCTAAGTCCAAGTTTAGACTGGATGAATTAAGAATATCTTTGGCCGAAAAAATGCGAGAGAGAAAACTGCCTTTGTCATTTGAAAATATATGTTGCTCATAAAAGTATATATATGTTATACTTCAATAAAATCAAAAGTGTTGCTTAAACATAAATCTAAGTATATATAAATCTAAGTGTATATAATATAATAAGGTGATACGTAGAACACATGGACGAAACTGGAATATCACAAGTGCTTCCAAATCTACAAAAGGTAACTGAGTGACAATGTTATTATTAGTAATCGATGAAGCTGATGTTTCCCCTGCTTGGAAAGTACCTAAATATTAAAAGTCAGTATAAATATTAAAACAACCAGATTTATTGCACCAAATTTAAATGAAGTCATCTCATTCACGACTACTATGAATAGCAACTTCAAACTGTAGAGATTTATGGGGCAATTCTGCCTCATGACATGGCAACGCTATCTTATGCTTGTTTATTGATAGTGAAAACTGTGAAGAATGTTATGATAACAGAATCTTCGATGATGGCAATTATCATAAAATTCTTTCTTTTAACAGTTTTCACTACCAATAAACATAAGATAGTGTTGTCATGACAACGCTATGTAATGAGGCAGAATTTCCCCATCTCAATAAGTATGGTTGTCTTAATCTTCTTGATATAAATTGCCCCAAGCTTTTATAACTTAGTAATATATAATATAAAATATATGCATTCTATATATGAATAATTCTATTAATTTAGTATATACCAAAATATATACAATGCCATGATACCAGTACCAATAATAACTACTAAATAATGTTTGCAAATGAATTTCTACTGAATTTCTACGTTTATCTACGTTCCATATTGCAGTTCTCTTTTCATGATAATCCCCGAATGATAATAAATCTCTCTTCAGAAGGGGGTATATACACAAATATTGTCATACAACATAAATCCCTTGAATCGGAAAATGGAACTGAAATATCGGTACAGATTTTATTTTTTGTGACATATACAGTTTCCGACTGTGAAGATTGAATATGTATTTATTTGATGTATTTTCATTAAATTAAAGACTTATATTTGCAAACTAATAAATTAAGATATTGATACTTGATATATCTTTACATTCGTGTCAATAAAGGTTTTTTGTTGATAGTCTTCCAAAACAGCTCCATTGAGTTGAGAACAAAAAAGTTCCATTTATCTTTTTATCAATATTATTTAAAATCAGAAACATTTTAGAGACAAAAAAAATTGTGTTATTGTTTAAAGAATATGTATGCTATTTATGCACGAAAAAAAATTAAGTGGTTTTCTTTTTTTACATTTATACTGTTGTCTATTTATACATTTTTACTGTTGTCTTGTAAAAATTCTATTACTAAATTGCCAAATATTCGTCGAATTAAGTTAAAATTGAAGAACGTTATTATTTTATTAGATTCAGTTTGCCCTGACATCCATATGGCATATATTTGAACATACATACATTTATATATTCTGTGCCATTTAACAATTCATTTCGTTGCGTAAGTTTATAAAGAATGAATTCACGTAATGCTGCATGAATATTATGCATATACCCACAAACAGAAGAATATATACGAATATATATATATATATATATATATATATATATATGTAAGTATATATAAATGTCGTCCTTCAAAAGAAAGATATATACTGAAGGAAACCAAAACCAAATCCACCCTTTTAAATAATTAAATAAGCCATGCGCTCAGCTTAGGTTTGGTATATTTCAACTTCGACAATGTTCAATTTTTCTTTAAATTTTTCAAATTTATTTCTAACATATCAAATAATACTATGCTTAAAATTAGATAAAATACTGCATACGCAAAAATAATCATTTGTAACAAATAAAAAGGAAACAAGATAAATTATTGACTTTAAAATATTGACTTTTCTTTCAAGTAAAGAAAATTTGTCAATCTCTCTGAAGAAAGTAAGAATCAAATTTTGTAAATCTTTCTAAAAAATCACTTATATTCGATGAAATTATAGGTACGTCCATAAATTTTAAAATTTTATTCATATCATAAGTATGTACAATGGGTAATAAATTTATACCCATGTTTTTGGCGCTAACTAATTATTTAAAATTGATTTTTTTCCTGACCCATGTAAGTACCACTTATTACCCAAATTTGCAAATTCTTAAAAAAATAATGTCGGTCGGTCCAACAAATGCCACGGTTACGCCCACATTAACAAATTACGCATAAATTGTGTAAAATTAATGTTAGAAGCGTAAATAAGATGGAAAATATGTTTTCATTAGTAATATACCATTTAAAAATGAATTTTAATTTTTTCACGAATTTTCCATAATTTCATCATTTTGTAAAACAAATATTGTCTGGTTCATCTGAAAACGAGCTCCAATCAATATGGACGCAATATTGGAATCTTGAGCCTTCATTACCAATATTGCGCCAATATTAATTGGAGCTCGTTTCTAGATAAACCAGACAATATTTATTTTACAAAATGATGAAAAACATGGAAAATTCATGGAAGAATTCTTCCCATCTGGAGATGATTCCTTTCTAAAGGTACTTATTTTGAACATGTCACCAAATAGAGTTTTTTACTCAACAATTTTTTGAGAATGTCATTTTTATTTTTAATTGTTCTTTCTTAGTTTTTAACGTTTTGATGCAAATTTTTCTTTCAGAGAGATGCTGATTTTCTTCTACTTGTAACGTCAACCTCTGACGACAGATTTATTGTACAAATTATAACTAATCGATTTTGATGTCAATTATATTATAATGTAGGATAATTTTATTTAAATTATATGTTATTATAAAGCTTATAAAATAAATAAAACGTCATGTGATGCAAATTATATATATATATATATATATATATATATAAATCCTTAATGGACAGAATAACAAGTAATAAAAGAGAACTGTAAAAATTTTAAAATATCTTTATTATTCCAAAAATTTTGGCGTACAATTTTACGTCGTCAATGCAGTGGATATATATTTTTTTCAATTATTGGCCTCAGTTAGAGTTTGCCTTATAATATTTAATATTTCATTTCTACTGATGATGACGTAAAATTGTATGTAGAAAAGTTTAGAACAATAAACATGTTTTAAAATCTTCACAATTCTTTTTTCTACTTGTTATAATGCCCTGTAAGTGTAAAAATTTATTTGTAGATTTTGATCAATGGACCGATTCTGCCGCATAACAGACAAATGTTATGGCAAGGTTGTGTTATGAAGAACTTTCCATACTAAATATTGACAAAAGCCATGTAGTTGCTATGCAGTCAGGCGTATTTCTCAGGTTGTCAGATAGAAAACCTAAACTAGAAACCGCATAAATGTCAAAAAACGATCTAAGATAACAGGGTCTTTCTGACACAGCTTCATAACATGAGTGACGTTGCAGTTTATGTGTAAAACGCTTGAATGCACAGCAAATACATGACATTTTGACAGTATTCAGTATGATTCAGTAGCATAATGTATGGAAGTTAGACCGTAACATGGCCTTGCTATATCATTTTTCTGTTATGTGGCAGAATCGGTCCCTAAATTTTGCAGTTACTAATATATACTATAAGTTTCGTAATATATTTTAATTCTTCGGTAATAACTTTTCATTTGTTTTTATAAGCCCTAACTATGTTTCTAACTATCATAAATTTATTTTGAGACTTAATATCAAAAACGTCTTTTTTACAAATTTCCTATAAACTATACCACATAACCATCATATTTAATTCCTATGAAGAAAGTCTTATTAGTGTCGCTAGACTCTTACGAATAAAAAAGCTCACGGTCTAGCTATTAACTAGATGTGAAATTATCATCTGCCTATTTGAGTTATTAAGTCATATTTATTATAAAGTTATTTATTATATAGTAATTATTTATAAAGTCGATTAATTTATAAAACTTACATCGCTATCTGCTCCTTTGTCTGCGCCGGGGCACGTGAATGTAACGTATTCGTGACATCGTTTGTGAACGACGAAACTGCATACTGAAAATAAAATATACATAAATATTACAATCACATATAGTTCACTTGACTTTGCTTCTTTAAATAAAATTACTATCAATGCCAGAAGATGCATACAAGTCGACAAGAACATACAAATGATAGTATTAAAGGTATCAAGTTTCATTATTTCTGAAACAAATTATTATTAATATTTTATCATTTTTAGTCAGTTATTTGTTACTATTACTTTTAAAAATACACCTAAAAAAATAGTAAATAAAATAGTAAATAGCCTCATTAAAAAAGTGATAATTTAGAAAAAGTTTTATTTGATGCTTTCCATAATTCCATTACCGACAGGCGTAATTAAAAGTTGCAAGTTTTTTTATATCTAAGCTGCACTGTTTGGAACATTCTGCTAGATTTATCTAAAGAGTATAAATATAAACATCAATTTAAAAAAGAAAACTGCTATAACAATTTCATTCACAACTAAGAATAAATCGTATAACAAACAAAACAAATATAAAATTTTGAATATAGAAGTCAAAGTTTGGGCTCCATCTTTTATCAGTGCTTAAAGATATCAGATTTGGATCAAAGGTACCTAGGGCTTCAAATACCGTACTCAAATCTGAATACCGGTATTCGATATCTGAAATTTGTAATACCGGGATTGCGGTATTAATACCGGTATTATCAAAGAAAAATTTACTAGTCATATTTTTAGATACCTCAGTTGTTATATTGACATATTAACAGTTCATATTGTTCTAAAATAAGTTTATATTTTATTATGTACTTGGACCAATCCTGTACCTAATCTACACTAACGACATACCAACCGACTCCAAAATAATATAAGTACGAATTATCATCAAAAGAGCGCATATCATCCAAACACTCTAATAAAAGACCTGCTAAAACAAGTACCTATAAGAAGATTGAAAAGAAAGTGGCCGCAAGATTTAATAAATTAACAATCAATATATTTATGTAAGGAAATTCCCCACTGGAGTTATTTCTAAAAGCCCTGTACCCGTCAGCAAATAACCTAATTGAACCCAAGGTTCAGATTGGTTATAAGAAATAAATAAATTAAAAAAAATTACATGGAGAATAGGAGTAGATAGATACAAAAAAAAGTTTTTATATAGTATGCATAAACATTATTCAAGATTACATATAGGTGTAACTTGCATTACGATGAATAAGTAAATCCAATGCAAAATATGACGAGCAGAACCAGTGAAGTGGCAACACATTATGGAATGGAGATCAACATTATGTGATGAGAATGTCGAAAACAGACGTGCTTCTGAAGCAGGAATTGGAAGATGCAGATCACTTCAAGAACGTGGGTAACTCATAGTATGTACTAGAGATGGGTAACTCACTCCGGAGTTATGACTCCGATACAACTCCTCCCTCGGAGTGAATCCGAGTGGAGTCGTCTCACAGGATTTGTCATATCCGACTTCTCTAAACTGATGCTAAATCTGTTAACATGTGCAGATATTTGCTTGAGATTTTTTACTAATACAAATATTTGGGTCGAAAGAAGTGATCTCTTTCTCGTCTCACAGCCAGTTTTATGATCTTTTAGGTATACGTTTTTTTTCCAGAGAATACAAAAATATTACTTCAAAGATACAGAACAATGAAATTGTTTTCAAGTGTTAATAGCTCAAATATATAGTTTATTGAATAGTAAGGGGTGATATTTCTAACTACGACAATCTTTGGCCGTGAATGGTGGCAATCAGAAATATTCATACCGAAAAATACACGAAACAAAATACATTTAATCTGGTTTTTTCATAGCCTGAAATAACAATACTTTAGAGTGCAAAATATATCAGTGACGTCAATAGTATTTAAGCAGCAAAAAATATATAGTAGTAAATTTTTACTTTCACACAATTATATAATTTTGTAAAAGTAATAATATGCTAATCGAACTACCCAATATAATAATTCTCTGCTATTTTCTCGAATGGAAATAGCAGAAGAAAAAATTAGAAAGCATAAGTATTATTATCTGGTGAAAATATTTTATGATAAATGTTTTGCTTTTATTTCAAAGTTTTCTACATTATTTTTATATAAAATTAATCTAAAAAATCATTTATTTTCTCATCAAAAGAAAATAATTAAATTGAATTTGATCCTCAAGTTTTGCGTTTTTACTTTGGTCAACACTGTTAAAATTACGAGTCATTAAGTCGATCATGTGGTCGACCGAAAAATTTTACAACTCGTCATTTATTTGTGAATTTTTTAGAAAAATTATTTAGTTGATATTTTTCAATTTTATTTTATTCATAAATTTTCATTTCGAAACATTAAATGGGATTTGACAAATCCTTAGATGCATAAACAACGAACTATTAAACATATTTGTGTCGAGTATTTTGATTTCAAAATTGTCGGAGTCGTGGAGTTGTTAAGCGGATATAACTCCACCATGAAGCGGAGTCAAATCCGAGTCGATCCGGCTTCGGATATGATAAGCCCATCTCTAGTATGTACAAACAATGATCTGGTCAACAATAGCAAGCTTCAAAGAAGCTTTCATAAACGCTTCTGACAAGTAAACTGATTCTTGCCATGCGACGCAAGTGATACAGGCTACACTTACAGAGCAGAGTCATGGACTATGTGGATGAAGCACAAAAACTACCTAAAATACTAAGATTAGAAATGTTGCGCTAAAAAGATAGAATAAATTGGCAAGGTAATAAATAAAGAGGAACAACAAAAAATGGAGAGAAAAACATCTACTAGATATTATTATAAGAAGGAATGAAAACTGGTTCGGATCATAGACATTACACTACATGATCTGCTAGTCCTCATATGGTTTCCATTGTATATAGTGCTCAAACATAGAAAGGTATGTGACGTCACATGTCTGAGCAAACACTGCCGACGACAATCGCGGACTCGACCGATTGATCAAATTTCATATGTTACGTGCCTAACATAGACCTTATAATAGATAAACCGATTTTATGAGATGAGTTCGATATTATGTACATTTATTTTACACAAGAAATATTATCAATATCATTTCTTACAAAATTATCAGCCATCACAATTGCCACTATATTATTAAAATATAATATATGACATATGACATGTAATCAATCGGTAGAGACCGCGATTGTCGTCGACTATATTCGCTCAGACATGTTTTTTTGTTATAATTTGTTTTTGTTAATCAAGACTTTAATGTCTTATTCTTAACGATCTGTGAATCGCTTTAATAGTAGGATTTGTATGCTGGATTAATTTATTGTTGAAAGATGAACTTGTAATCTTGATCATTTCGTTGACTGTAGAGATTTTCAAATCCCTATGTAGGCAAAATTTCGAAATATACCAAGATACGTAGAATTTTGTTCTGGCACCTTTGAATGATGTGCTCATCTATGTTTGAGCACTTAGTTTGCGCTCGAAATGTATTATAAAGTCTATGGTTCAGACCCATATTGGATAAATAGTCCAGAATGAACTAAATAATTAATGATATCGACTGCCTGACATCTATTAAGGAACCAATTTCCAAACAGGCAAAATTTGTTGATAATAGTTCACAGAAAAATAAGATTGACAATTCTGCAGTTCCTTTGTCAAAGTTTCAAAATCCCTAAGTTTCTACGATGTTTCTAAATAGGCCAATTTTGGCATCGAACAATATTTTGCTAATGAACTGCAAATAAATAAGTCGACAAGGACAATTTTTTCTTCTTTCTTACAGGCAGATTATATAGATTGATTACACAGGTCCACAAAATGAAAAAAGTTGTCTGTATCGGGTTTCCAAATGGTCAAAAAAAAAAAACGACAAAATCTCAAATCTAGTATTTCTTCCGCATGATACTTAAACTCTTATAACTTTTGTCGTTTCCTGGCCCTTGTAAAAAAGGTAGACAGAATGACAGGTAAACAGGTAGAAATGTGGAGAGTCAGCTAGACAGATTAACTGGCAGAATGATGCACAGTTAAATAAATAGACTTGTAGACGAATAGACAAGTAGACAGGTAAGATCGTGAATAAGTAGATATGTAAACTGATGCATATGTAATTAATTAGACAGGTAGAAAAGTACAGGAAAAGTAAACGGGAAAAAGCAAACAGGAAGACAGTTAGTCAGACAGACAGGTAAACAGCTAGATGATATTATAGATAAATCAAACAATAACAGTTGATTAATTCAATTTTCACATTTACCGGAAAGTTCTTGTATTACTAAGCTGTGGTATCTTAAAAAAACATAGCACTTATTTGAAATGCGTTGTAAATGAAAACGGTTAATAATTTTTAAAATTTCAACAATCTCAGATGATGGTACCCATATTTAGAAATAATTATTTTTATTTATCAATTTAATATTATATTTTATTTATACTGTGTAAGTCCTATTGCACAAAATACGCCTTGACATATTATGTATCTTGAAATGTTAATTACAACTCTACGATTCAGTAAAACTAGGCGGAATTTAATTTTACTATTATCTACTTTTGATCACAATCAATTAATCGTGCCAAAACATAAATTCCTAAATTAATAAAAGTTGAAAAGGTGTGTTCTTCATGATAAGATATGAACTCATATAAATGATACCACTTGAAAACAAAATCAGATATGGCAAAAACAAGTTAAAAAAGACACTTATATGGCTACCTTATTGTTTGCACTGATTTTCCGTTGTTTAACTAAACCTGTTGAAACCATATAAGACCTGCTAAGATTAAGATTATATAAGACAGTGTTGTTATCATTGTAAAAATTGTACCCAAGAAATGTATATTTCCCATTGGTTGAATAATATAGCTATTATTTCGTAAAATCGCTTTAAAATTGAGAATCAGACATTGAACCTGTTTTGACCCTATCAGTCCCATTCTACCCCGCCAATGGGGTACAAATTTTTGAAAACAATAAAACACGCTTTTTTAGAATGATGAATTAGCTGGGAGTTTTACTGAACATAATCAGATACTTGTTTGTTTGATTCGTGTTATTTTTGTAGTATAGTTGGTTTGCTTTTCACGATATAATTGCTCGAAGTCAAATTGGACCTTTGTGCCCCGCTCTACCCAATTGATTAATAACTTTCAGTGCTCTAAAGCGCTATGTATTTCACAAATTATCGCTAAATATAATATCATTGACACAAACGTGCCAAGGTTCATTTAATTAAGCTTCCTTTGGAAAGAAAACTTAGAAAATCTACTGTAATCTCATTAAAGGAGCTTTACACCTCATTAAAATCAGTAAGGTTTCTGTTATAAATAAAAAATTTCCGCACGCTTTGACCAACTTCCTATCGTTTACAGTTCACATAGTTTTCTTTTGAAAATATAAAAACATTCTACTTCCACAATTATTTTCATTTTAAATAATAATATTTTTCTACTGAGTTTTATATCGTATTATCTGAGAGCTTTGCATTTGATTTGCAATATATTATGTATCATCGATATGTTTCTACCCGGACAAATTTATAGATTTATGTAATAATATGCATAAATTTATTAACTTCCCTAAGAAGTTTATGTTTCATCAAAAAATTCGATTTGCCAATTTTATATTTTCTCTACGTTTCAAGCAATTCTGAATCGAATGAGAACAAATTTGGAAAAAGTATGTGTGTGAGCAGATTTTTGACCTTAGGTCGACGCTTTTTTTAAAAACGGCTGGGCCGATTTCAAAAATTTAAAGGCCGTTCGACGTAACTCGATGAGGACTTGCGTTAAAACTCGATAAATAGCGTAAAAAATATTGTCCACGTTTTTACCAGCAATTCTGAATCGATTTTGAAAATTCAAAAAACTGAAAAATATTGATTGGGAATCGATCTGATTAGTTTTTGGTAATAATTCAAAGGCACAACTACTTGTATTTAACTGTTGAAAAAAAATTTGAGCTATTTTCTTGTTTTTGTTGACGACAGATACCCTGGTCTTATAGATCATACGAAAATATCACGGCCCTACGATAAGTCATTTAATATTAAAAATTCATCAAAGTTTGCAAAAATGGGTAGCGTTTTTTTCGATTTTTAAAATTAGATCTTCTATCAACATTTTTTCAAAAACCTTTGTATTAAAGTGGAGTCTACACACGACATGGAGTGTACTAAATTTTGATTCAATAATTATCACTCTGAATTAAATTATTGAGAATTCTAATTTGTTCATTATTCTTTGGATGTGTGCTTTTTAAATTTTAAATACATTTTTATTGATAATGATTGAAAAATCGTAAAACTTTCTTTATAATATATACTTGGTCGGCTTGATGGTTTGTACAGCAGAGTCTTTTAGCAAACACTACTACTAGAAATTGGAACCATTCGGTTCTTAACACCAAAAAGTTGTCGAAAAATGCATTTTTAAGTTTTCAAAAAACGTAACGCTCAAATTTTTCAAAGTTATAGAGCAGTCGTTTCGTCAGAGAAGTAGACTGGAATAAATATTATACAATTCAATAAAATATATTGAAGAAAGATTGGCATAAATAATTGACCTTCTGTTTAAAGACAGTTGACACGTCTTATCGTACTTTGTTATAACGATAAAATGAATGCATTCACAAAAAAAAAAAATGCTCTGATGTACATATATGTGCATAATTTTTTAACTATAGATTAGGAAAGTAAACTAGTGGTACATGGCAATTTAAATTTTGAAAATCCGAATTACTTTCGATATTCAAAAAAAAATATAGAAAAATAATTTTGAAATGTTTTTTTTCTTTCCCCAAAAACAATCGTTTCGTATAAGCATAAAATTTTCTGAATCATTCAAATTGGGTGCTTAAGTTCTCTCAAAAACTGCAATTTTTTTTGCATATTGTTAATAAGTTAAAGATTTAAATTTGAATCATTGCATCAAATTACCATATCATTTTCGTGTATATTCAAATAAGAACTAATTGAATAGCACAATATTATTTTATAATTTAAAATGACATGAATTGTAAATTGCTTACCTTGACATTGAAAACCCTGCTTTCCAAAACCCCTGTAAAAGAAAAGAAAATATTTAATGTCATCATATTAATATTGTCAAAGATATTATAATTTTTTAAAAGATATATGAATTTGATCCATGTAATAAATATTATGTATTTAAAAGCCTAAAGATGGAGCGTAACTTGTTCCGAAACGTCGACAAAATCTTATCTTCAAAAGATATTTTCCTTCTTTAAATTTTACACACATTTATGTTGTATATATATATATATATATATATATATATATATATATATACATATATACATATATACAAATCGATATCATAATGATTTTGGTATCGGATGTATTATAAATAATTCATAAGAAATGTTTTGCCAGCTATAATATATATTCTATTTTTATTTATTTAATAGTATTTAACACATTGAATATTTCTACTGATCTATTTCCATACGTTTCGAAGTCTGCTTTCCTCATCATCAGTGATATTCAAATAATAATAGCAAACAAATATATATTCTCATTGTTTTTTTCTCACATCAATTACGCATTCACATTGAAGATAAAAATTCCATTCCAAGTAAATTATTTCTGTCAAAATTCTGAATTTTGTACAATAATTTGAAACCTTTGAACTATTTTTAGTCGTATGTAAATTTGAAAGTAACAAAAAATAGAAGTATTGAATTACTAGTAGACAATTTACTTTATGCAATATCATAGTATAATATTTCTATATACAATATTTTGAGTCTGTAGAATTGCAATAAATATATAACCAAAAATTTTCGATAATTTTCAAAAACTAACTAGTGTCGCATGGCATTGTGCCTCATAGCAAATTGCTGGAATTTGCCGTACCCGAATTTAAATTTTTTGAAAATTTTGAAACCCAGTGCAATCGGTTGAACCATACTGTCGGAAACATTTCTTTGAACGTTATAAGTGAACTTTTTAAAATATCATATATCCTGGTATGGCACCCATAAAAATGCAAAAAAAATTGTACTTCTTAATAAAATCTCTATAAAATGTCTGATAAGTTGATGTGAATATTCGATGTCTGATGATCATTGTTGACCCCAAATATTTTTTTTTAACTTTTTTCTCTGGATCTCTACTGACGAGCTAAATAAAGCAATCTTCAAAACGACCGACTCTGGCTAAAACTAATCGCCAAATCTCCCCATCAATAAGAATAGATTACTGTTAGTCAAAGCAGTTCGCACGTGCACACGTGTACATCCATTTTATCTCAGGTATGCCAAAATATTCAGAAACCGTTGAAACGTAATTATATGCAAAACAATTATTTACAATTTTTTGCTATTACTATAACTTACCCTGCGGGAAGAAAAAACAAACAAAATAATAAAAATTGTAAAAAGTCCAGAATTCATAAAAATTAATAGAAAAACAAGAATTGCTCAAAGCTTCAAACAAATCTATGTTTGATTAGCTTCTCATAATTTTAGTTTGTTTTGTTTGATTCTGATTTGATTTCGGATAAAATACACAATCTAAAGATAAAATACAAAATACACACTAAATAAACAGAAGACTTGATTAACTGCAATTATTTATAATATTTAATTTGAAAAAAAATATATATATATATATAAACATAGCCAACGACCACGGTATCAAACAAATAATATGTCTGAAAGATTTTTTTTAATTGTTATAATTTATAATATGTTTTACTGAAGAAGAGACAAACTAGGGCTCGAAACGTATGGAAGGCTTAAATTTTTTTTTGTTGAACATAACTTTTTTTTCTTGATGAATGCACGTTAGAAAACATTTATGTTGATAATTATATAAGTTATAAATTGTATTAATAATTTTCAATATTTATCACAATTTATTTACTATTATTTACAAATATATCACCACATACTATTTATTTATGCAATAGTAGTATCAAATGAAATATGTGATATAACACATAAATGTTATGTAACAATAAGCAATATATATTAATAGCTCGTTTTATGGTGATAGCAATTAAAATTAATTATGACTAACTCATCACCTATGAATTTCACGCATGCAAATTTAATAAAAGCATTAATTATACATTATGAATACATATATTACTGCTTTTAGTATGAAATTTTGAGAAGAAATTCGAAACACGTTTCAAATTTGGAATAAACTGAACTTTATAATAGTAGTTTTATAAGAGTAAAATACATAATAATTTAATGAATTTAATTCTTATATATTTATATTTAGATAGTTTTTAATTATAACCTTACAACCACAAGGGTCCTATGTTGAAAAATGTAAATTGCAATATGTCTATACCAAACTAGAAAAAATCTTCGTACGTCATTTCTAGGTAAATCAAGTGACTTATAAAAAATTAAAATAAAAAATATAAAAATTAACTAACAGTATGAACACCCGGTTAAATACTATCCTTTATTTTGTACTCTATTTTATTTATATCTATGTTATTATTCACGTATGTTACTAGATCTTATATTATTTAGCTGTTGTAACAGATATTGTAATTAAAAAAAAAATTAAGTACTAATCGGATTTACATGACATACGTCAATGAAATTTTAATAGCCGTAAAAAATTAATAAAGAAGGGTCTATGTTTATTAACTCTAGAAGAAATTAAAAAAAAAAAAGTTCTGCAAATTTATAAGAACAACATTTTTCTTTATAAAGTATAGCGAGATGATTTTAGTAAAATTGTTCAGAGTATTCAGAGAGCTTGGTTTTAAATTGTTTTGCATTTTTAAAATATACATATGTTGATTTATTCATTCTCTTGCAAAGGAATTGCAAACTTTCGCCAACATAACAAACATTGTAATCGCTGCAATCCACTTTATAAACTGAGTTTGTTATGTTATTTTTAGAAGTCTGATTTAAAAATAAAAGGGAAACTAAAAACTTAAGCTAAATACTTAAACTCGTAATTGTCAAAGCTAAATACTTAAAGACAACTTTCAGTAAATAATTTTTTAAAAAATATAAAAAAACTAGGCATAAACTACGGTAAAGAAATAATATCCTTATATAAATTAAGCTATTGAACCTAGAAAAAGATTTATTTGAGAGAGACAAGAAATTATGATTATTAAATGTATTTGTAACTAAAACAAAATATAAATGTATAATTATATGCATAAAATATAAAACCCAATAAAAAATAAATAATGATACTCGTATTAAGAAAAAAATAACAAAAATAAATTTAAATTAGAGAGTGAAATAATAGTAATAATAATAATAATTAAAAATAAGAAAATAAGATAGGAAATTACTAAACGATGTTGTAGCTATTTCAACTTTTTCAACGTTTGATCATTTATTAAATAATCAAGAATATTTTTAAATTATTCATAGAGTAATCATGAATACTTGAGTATTCATAAATAATTTGAAATTTAATGTAATGATATATAATGTAAGCAAAATAAATAGGATTTTTAATATCGTTATGTATATAACGCATCCTAAAAAGCTTGTTACTACTTTCTGTACTCTATATATTAAATGACGTGCATAAGAGTCCTATTAAAGTCCAATATTTTTTTTATTTAATGGAAATAACAGTTTGATTTATAGAACTGCAATACCCCTTAATATTTTTGCTTTTTTTATTTTCCAATATCGATTACTTGTCAAAGCGTCACTTTAGTTCAGGAGAAAATGAGATGTGATTGACATGAACGATATTAAAACGGTTTCATTCAAAATCCTACAAGTCTCAGGAAATTGTTAACAATTGTACTTATAAGTGTTAATAAATTGAAAGCATCGAAATAAAATTGTACAAATAACAATCGTTTGTATGCATATTTGAATATCAGATATAAACGAAAAAGTAAATACAACATTTCATGGAAACAAAAGCATGGAAAGCGTTTTTAACACTTCTATTTAATTTTAAAGTGGTAAATGTTTTCATTTAAATTACAAGCTGCATTTCCACACAATTTTGAAAAAATATTTAGTTTAAGCTGCAAAAACGTGTATAAAATTTTTATATTGTTAACTTCGTTCGACTCTATTAACAAGCCTCATCTCTAATTATTCTCTAATTACACTCTCTACAGTATTTAGTCACTTTGTCTCTTACCAACAAAGTTAACAATATCAAAAATAAGATACGATTTTAACTTATATTGAATGTTTTAATATTACAATTGTATACAAACTATTATATTGTTAGTTTGCATCTGAACGAAATATTAAACAAATACGAAAAATAAAACGATTTGCTATATTATATCGTAAATAGTTAAATTTTATTTCTATTAATAGTTTTATTTTATTTCTATCAATATTTTATATATTTTATTTCTATCAGTAAATTATATATTTATAATAGCATTAAAAATATTTATAGTATTTGAAAACGATAATGAAATCAAAGTTATACTTCAAATACGACATGATAAGTTTGTCATTGTAATTAGCAATTAGGACGTGTCTATAAAACAATTCTCATTTTCAAAACTTCAAAAATATATAGTAATCACAAATAATATAAATTACTTCGATCAACTTACGTATCTTACACGTCAGATTTTTTATTTGTTTTATTAGTTTCACTAAACGATCAAAACAGGTATACTCACGCGACACGATGACCAATCACAATCGACCCGTATAGAAATGATATCAAATCGAATCAATGGCACTCGAATCGGCCGTAACGCTTTTTCCGTTGCATTTGTACGGATTTACTCCCTAGTCGCGCTCAAAGAAGTTTTACTTAAAAAATATTAGGAGTCATTATCAAAAATTAGCTAAGCGTTTTAAATTTCTTAATAAATACAGGAACATATAATATATTTAAAGTTTATATAAAAATACAGGTAATTTTTTTTATAAGAATTCATTATAATCAGGGATATTCATAAATATCCCCAAAAGAAACGATTCTTGGCCAGATGATGGCAAATCGTGGCGCAGTATTTGAAACTTGGGCCTTCATTACCAATATTGCGCCCATATTGAGCAGAACTCGTTTTTAGGTGAGCCGGACAATATTTGTTTTATAAAACAATGAAAAATG